TTTTCAGTTTCCATAGGAGATGACTCTTCTTGTGTCAAACCAATAAATGCTGGAGTCCCCCAAGGATCAATTTTGGGACCCATTTTATATCTCCTATACGTCGCAGACTTCCCTAATGTTGACAATGATCCTAACTATTTTCTTGGTTGCTACGCGGATGACACGGCTTTAGCCGTTAAGTCCGCTAGCGCCAAACATGCTATTTTCAAGCTACAACTACGCATGCCTGACATTGAAGAATGGTGCCAAAGATGGCGTATCTCTATTAATGCACAGAAATCGAACCTATTAATGATTAGGAAAGAAACGCAGACTTATACAATTAAATGAAAATATTACACTGTTTGGGGAAACAGTTCCGCATGTTGAAGAAGCCACTTACTTAGGAGTCGTATTTAACAGACAACTCACCTGGAAGAATCATATTCAAAAACTTGAAGAGAAAAGCTTACAGCATTATTAACTGCCTCAGGCCTTTACTTGGCAAATACTCCAGCCTGGATCTTCGCAGGAAAAGACTTCTATATATTACCATGATCAGGCCTATTTTAACTTATGCGTCGCCCTGCATGGGCCACTGTAAAAGATAATGAAATTAACCAGTTACAAATTATACAGAATAAAAGTGCTTAGACAAATGACTAATGTACACATGTACGTTAGTAACGTCACATTGCATCATGACTTTCAACTCCATTCAATTAAAGAACATCTGCACAAGCTGAATACACAATTTTTAATAAAGCACTAAACTGTGACCATCTTGCTATATTTGATACTTTTAAGTATATTATCCTCTCTGACGACGAAAAACTGAGACCTCTCGCGGCTCACCTCACTCACGACTCTAATTTTCCAACATAATCAAGAATTGTAATAATTGTAAAGCATCTTGTAATTTAGTATATTTTTTACTTTTTATGATTGTATCTTTAAAATTTTTGTATGTTTTTTATGTATTTTGTTTATTCACACTGATGACTTACACACTACCCGTCTGTCCATGATCGTCTCCTTGCTTGGTCTGCGATGTTGGCCCCCCTTTTTACCAACCTACCTCTCTAAACTGATGATTGTACTACTGCGATGTGCCTTCATGGCAATTTATGGAGCCAGACAAGCGGCCATGTGCTGCATTCTGGCAATATACAAACTCACAGAGAATATCTTCACTTATTTTTGGAGTGAGAAAGGCTCTGACAGGGATTTTATAGCCAGATTGTAATGGCCAAATTCTCGGAAGAGTATCCGAACTGCAACTGGGGTTGTTCACGTCTGATGTTTAGTATACAATTGGAAAAATGGTATGAACCAACAGTAGAAACCAAGCTGCTGGATGTTCATGTGTCATCAAAAAAGAAGGATGTCGGAGACTGTCCCTCTTGGTACAGCAAAAGTGGCGCCAGACAGTGGCTGAACTGACAGCCCAATACAATGCAGGTCCAAGTGCAAGTGTTTCGGGAAACACAGTTCAGCGGACCCTGTTGAATACGAGACTGTACAGAAGACGTCCCACCTTGTGTGCCTCTCTTCATCAAGTGTCATTGTCAATTGCGCCTAAAGTGGGCCCGGGGACATAGAGAGTACGTTATGGATAAGTGACAGTTACCTAGTCGAATGAATCACGATTTCTCATTCATCACGTCAATAGGCGTGTCAAAGTATGGGGTCTTCCTGGCGAAAGTGCTCCCTTACCCTGTACTGCAGGTCATACACAGGCTGGTGATGGTGGTATTAGACTTTGAGGAGCGTTTTGTTGTGTTTCTAACCACCCTCTTAGGGAGGAAACTAATGCAGAAACAGACAGGTGAAACCGTAACTAACTAAATATCAACTGAGAACTAAGCTCTTAAGAGTTAGCTAATTTCCACACCTTTAGTGATCGTATAAGTGAAATTTAAAGTGCATTGCGGTTGTGTAAATGCATCCGGGACCGCGCCGTGAGAGGATCGTATAAACAAGATATAAAATCAATATACGTATAAGAAAACACATAAAAGATATTAAGAAAACATAAGAAATAGGTTTCCAGATTAAAATACAAGTTTATTCAAATTCCTCAACAATTAAAATTAAATCTTATCCTAATCAGAGACTCAATTTTCTTATTTTAGTTACAGGTTTCTTATTTTAAACACAAGTGAATTCTTCAATTTATCATTTTCTTTTTTTACATTTAAATCAATGATTTGCAAATCTACTATATGACTCATTTAATTTAACTTGAACTACTGTAGTAATTTCTAAGATGTTAAAAGAAACACATTATCTGAAATTCAACATCTATTCTAAGGATGATTACACAAACAAATTATATTTTTACATTTTACTCTATCTTATTAAGACTTTCCAGTTTGTCTCGGTAAATTAAGAAGGGGAGAAAGAGAGGCAAATTTAGTCTTTTAGAATTAATTTAAAGATTCAATGTTGGTTTTAAAATTCCAAGGAAGTTTCGGGAACTTTACTTAAAGTTCTTAGGAAATACATCAAACACAGAAAAAGGACTTATCTTAGGTAGACATCTTGAAGTGGAGAACTCGTATCCTAATTCCAGGCACTGCCCCTCGGTTACAAGTCGAAGTTTCAGAGGACATCGTCCTGTCCTAGCACTATTGGCGAAACACACGGCCGGGTAACTGGTTTTCTAACGACGAAGAATTTTCACTCTGGAAGGCAAGAGAACTGCTGCCCCGCACGGCTGCCGCCATGGACTAACCAGCTCCAACCAGGACATCATAGACTATGAAGCGAGGTATTTTTTTTTTCTGATACAAGACCGAAAGACATCTTGTCCTTCGGTTTTCAGAATAATAGCATAGAGCAAATCAGCGGCCGGATAGCATAACTGCCGTTCCACTGTCGTAGGCACAACTGGATGGATTATTACTAATCCCTTATTCATTCACCAGAAACTTCAACTCTCACACCTCACCTTCGAAAGTTCGGGCAAAAAAGTGATTCAAACTCGAATTTTCTTCGTCTCCTTCACAACGTGGGCTCCCACAATTGGCTTCATTTATCGCCCCCTTAATCTGGACAAAATTTGCGTTTCTTTCCCCGAATGACCGAATTAGGGTGATCAAACATGCGCGCGTCTCTTCACTTAGCCAACAACCGGACCCCCGATCGCCAAAATAGAATGACTTACATTGAAAGTTAAGTGGCAACCTCTGACCTTCCTGTCACGTACTTCCTGTCCTAAAGGTCAATTGCACAAAGAAATTTCTTCTAGAACATTCCAAAGGACAAAACGCGCAAATCATGACTTAGCAAAATTACCTTCCTTCCCTGCTTCTTTTCACAATGAATCAAGCTTGGACAAAAATTGCAAATAAAAGGAAAATAAATAATATTCTTTGAAACTAAATAATATTCTTTGAAACTAAATAATATTCTTAGAAGCATCTGTTTTCCCCCAAAATTAAAGCATTAAAATAAATAATTCAAAATCAAATAAAATTAAGGCTTTCTTAAATCAGAAAATCATTCACCTAGTTTTTTATAACGTGATCAGACAATTATCTACACAACAGTTCTTATAAGCAGTTGTGGGACACGTAGCTGTGTTAGAACAGACTATGAAAACTCAAAGTATCTGAACATAACTGCGAATCAACATAACCGCCATGTCAGATGATAAAGATTTTAGAGCATTCATATTTGATTGCATAAAAGCGCATCACTTACGACGAAGTTTTGACCTTCTACACTCGAGCATACCACTCAGAGTACTAATACTGACCAGATTTTGTGCTCAACGATTTTCATTGCATTTTTTTAATAGAAAATATTCTTTTTTGGCCAACAATATGATCCCCGCTTATTAATCCAGGTGGTCAAACCCATTTTCGAATGATAAGTTTTTTTTGGGGGGCTTCGTCGTATTTTTATTCAGTTTTTTATTTCATCATATGGATGTTTTAGAATTATCTGAAAAACTGCAAAGCACGTAAGGGCTATTTTTCTAAAATAAGGACTTCTTTCGTGGATGACCTTTTATAGAAATTGGCTAGCTACATATGAAGAAATTCCGTAAATCCTCACGCAGCCAGCCCGCTCGTTAAGATGAGAACTGAGTCGAACTACCAGCGATGAATATTTTAACGCTCGCCGCTAGTGGCCTCTTTAAAATTATGAAAATTATGAAAAGCGAGGATTTTATCGAGCTCTGAGTTTAAAATCTAAGAAATGCGGAACTGAAGTTGAAAATCTTCAATTTTAAAAAAACTCGTTACACGATTATTTTTCCTTCTATATAAGGCAAACCTATTTTTGTGATAGGTTCCTAAAATTTTTCTTCTTTAAGAGTATAGTATAAAAAGCATTCTAAACTGAAAAATGTTTTAAATTTAAAGAGGATTTCAAAATTTAGAAAAGTTATTTTGACGATGTTTTCATATTGAAGATATGCTTCTAAAAACACTCGGACTGTTTGTGGGTTTTTGTAACACGACTATCTAATTGCAGTCACAGATTCAGAATAAATAAATAAATAATGCGTTGCTTCAACAATAAATATACAATTTGAGGAGATTTAGTTGCATTGAATTAAATTTATTTGTTAGATATGCTTTTGCGATTTAATTGATTTTCTTAAAACGTAAACTTCTTCCCACTTTTTCCTGAGGATTGCATTTTACAGACGATGGCATCTTAGAATAGAAGAAATATGATAATTAGTCTTTAAAATTCACGTTAAATGCACTAAAACCAAACATTGATGTTCAATATTTAGTTCGCATTTGCCAGTCCCATATGATTAACTGAAATTAGCAATCAAAAGAGCCTTGTTATAAAAGTTCTGATATCATTTCATTTCATAGTGTGTAAGCATGATTAGAAAGAGTTGATAATTCTTTGAGTGTTATGCTTCTGAGCGAATGAAAACCGCCACGTTGCAATATGTCTGAAATAAATTTCATTTATCACACTTTAGCCCAAGCTTATCTAAGCAATGACTACAACGAACCTATGATAAGTGATATAAAGTATCGGTACATATGCGTCTTATCTGAAGTCCTAGTTTAGTTTTGTAGCTTGAATTGGGAGTTTCAATATTTATAGACTTTTATATATATAATAAATCTTCCCTTCTTTTATATTAAGTTTTAAAGGTCAAGAATAAAAAAAAAATAAAAAAAAAAAAAAATTCCGAGTTATATTTGCAATGGACCTATTTTAAAATGGAATTCAACTAAAATTTAGGGTATAATCTTATATAACTATGCATTCTTTGTAAAGTGCATAAAAACTAGCTTTAGATGGAGGTTTTTTGAATTGCATACCTTCATAAATTAATTTATTTTTACAGATCACAATTCTGGAAAGAAGAAGGAAAATGTGAGTATTTTTGCTACAATTTCTTTTACTTCTTTTAGTCATTCTGATTTAAAAAAAAAATTATTATTGTAAAAAAGAGTTTTAAATAGTATATCACAACTCAAAATTTACAATCACGAAAGAAAATATTTTAGTGATTTCTGTGTCTATAGTTGAAAATGTACATCATATGTTTTAATAAAACTTTTATTTGAAGTGTTATACAAAATCAACTAATTTTTAATTTTATTCAAATTTTTAGGATAATTAAGAAATTAAATGTAGAATTTGGCCAAAAATGAACAATTTGACAAAATAATTTAGCATTTTGCTTCATCCATTTTGGTTTTTATAATGCCATATAAACAACCTCGCATAATATTTACTCGAGTTCAGATTTTTTTTCCTACTACGAAAACAAGCCTATAATAGAGACTTCAAACTGAAAACTGGATAAGCAGTTTTATGTTAGACATTTGGGATATGAAATTATAAATTTAAATTTTATATCATGATATTTTTCAATCTCATTTATCTTGTCATACATATTTCTTTCGAACGTTACTGAGGCATTTATATTATGAAAAATAGGTTTGTTAGCATAATGTTTCAATAGTTTAGTAAAGCTCTATTGAATGTTCTTCAGCTTCTCAGGAGTAAATTTTTAACTTTGCTTACATCTGCTCTGTGAAATTTTTTAGATTCCAATATGCTCCTTTTTGTTTCAATATTTGGTGAAGTTTCCTCACATGAATATTATTTCCATAGCCGTTAAAATATCTTCTGAATTTATCCTGTCTTTAAACTGATCGAAAATTTGGAGGGCGATATGTATCTTCAGTCAAAGGCATCCTTTCTTTGTTTAGAACCATTTCTGTCTTTTTGTGGCATAAAATTTTAAATGGCCGATAATATCGGCATAAAATTGCGAGAATGGTAATCAGCTGCTTAAAAGCTAATCTCAGAATGAATAAGACAACTTTCACTTAAAAATGTTGCATCAAAAATGTTTTCGACGATGTATTTTAGGACAATAAAGATAACGACGGCTCAGAAGAATCAGACTCTGAATGTGAAGTAAATTCTGATATTAAAATGAAGATAAAAACGAAACAGAACTAGTAAAGATTCAGAAGCTGAAGGCGACCGCGATTAAAAAGTAGATACTGAAGACTCACATTCTGATATCGATTCAAAGTGAAATGAGGAATTATATGCGTATAGATAAATGAGAATTAGTTTTATTGGTCAATCGAATTTGTTAAAATATTTATTTTAAGATTCTACTTGAGTTTTATAAGGTATTTCTTCCGCCTTCTTGGTCGTGGTTCGATGCCTTCGTGGTTCGATTCTCGGCGAAGGCGCTGCTCATTTTTCCTCTCTCCTGCGTCGAAATTACCTCATGTCTCTACAAGTTAATTGATTTGTCATTGGATCAAAGGTTCAATTTCATGTTTTTCAGATTAATATTTGCTTATATGGCAGATTAGAATAAAAGATATCAGTTAATATTATAATACTTTGAACGATTTCTTCTTAATGTTCTAATTTTGAAATAACTGAAATACAAAGGCATTGATCTAAAAACTGTGACTGTACAGTTATTAACCCCAAAGGAGCCGTTAGTCTCGAAATCGAATTTTGCGTCGAATCACTATAAATTCATCGTTTCACTTTTTATTCGACCCTGTTGCCATTCGGCAAAATGAAAGATATTGTTCTTCCAAACTGAATATCTCTACAATGGATTAACAAACTAAGATATTTAAAAGCAATACAATAATAATATTCCTCTCTTGCTATACAATAATAATATTCCTCTCTTGCTATACAATAATAATATTCCTCTCTTGCTTTTGAATCGGATTTATTTAAAAAAAAAACAAAAAAACTGAAAGCTTTCAGATTTTATATTACGCCTAAACGGGCTTTTTTTAATGTTTTGTGTATTACCTTTATTTACTAAATATCATGTTCTTCGCACTTAAGTTACTTCGACCATAAAATTCAATTCAACAGCAATATCGCAAAATAATTTTAAAATGAGCATTTCCGATACACAGTCTCACGCGCTGGAGATAATTTTTTTTTCGTACAGTGTTACCCCTGCTCGCTTTAAAATTGTTGAATTTGTTAATAAAAAAATTTGTTAAAATTTTACAGAATATGAAATCGATAACAAAACAAATTCAAAATTAGGGCTTACAGATGCCCACATTCGGTGGAGGATTACGTTATTCAAAATCTGATGGCTCTAGGTTGTTTAACACAATGCGAGAAACATACATACATTTATGCAGATTCTTCTTTATTTAATTTCTTTAAATATGACACAGGACGATAATATTTGGTGGCAACAATTTGAAAAATTAATCGGGCATTTATAGTTTCCAACGTAAAACACCAAAACGAAATTAATAGCTCTTCTGGGCTAACACCCTTTGAGATAAAAATGCATTCATTCATGATCTATCTCTCTAAAAATATTCAATATTTTTATACAATGAAGTTATATTTTTTTATTATTATTTATTTCCTATTTTGTGAAACTTAAATGAACTTTGGTAAACAGACTTAACAATCTGAAAGCAAGCAGTGGCAACATTATACTAAATAAAACATTTTTATCTCCAGTGCGCGAGAGTTCTATCAGAAATTCTAAAGCTGTACCGTGTTTATAAATATTTTGTGAGTTTGCTGTTGAATTCAACTTTATGTAGTGTAAGTGCGAAAAACGTGACATTTAATAAGTTAACATAAAAAAGTTAATAATAAAATTCCCAAAAAACAAGTTTTGCAAATAGTCTTACTAAGAAAACTGAACATTGATATGATTAGGGTTTATACAAAAACCGGTTTTGGAATTCAGTAGTTCCAAAAAACCGATTTACGAAATTTTGTCCAAAAAAATAGAATAGAGAAAAATATATTATTTAATTTTATAAAATAACAGAAAACAAAATCAATATCAAAGTCAAAATATATTTCAAAAAATTAAGGATTACATATACATATTACTTACACAAAATAACGAAAACTCAAACAATAATTTCAAGTAATATTTATATTATTTTCACCAATTTTAATTTCTCCTAAGAAAACAAGATTTTAAAAAACATAAAATATCCAATGAACGGTGGCTAAGTGTCGTTCTTATTTTGGACACAATATTGCCGTGAAATTGAAAATACTGGTTTACTAGCTACTGAGCTTGGTTTTATAGTTCTCCAGAGCAACAAATCTAAGTTTTTCTGTTCGTGGCCTCAAATAATGAAAATTCAGTAATCAATGTCGTTGGATTTGTAAGTTTTTCTTCAGGGTCTTCAAGAAACTCATGAACTGGTTTTTTCCACGGCTTCTTAAAAAAAAAAAAAAAACCATTCCTCTGATGAGTAGTTTCTTCGATTTGCTCTTCATCAGCATCGGTTTCCACATAAGACTTTGGAAATATTCTAGACAATATCTTTCCAGATAACTTATTAATTTCGGTTTTTGAAGCTAAAGAAAGTACACTAGATTTCTTCGCTGTAATTTGCAAATACAGCAAAAGAGTTGCTAATTCTACTTGTCTTCTTTTTTGAATTCGTTCTTCTAAAGCATATAATAATTTCGAACTTCCTTCAATGTTAACATTTTTTAGTTCATTTAACAGAAATTCAAATATACCTTCACTAGTTAGTAAAAATGTGTTTTCTGCCAGTTGCATAGAATGAATAGCAAATCAAATAAGTTTAAAATTAATTTTTACATAACAATACCAATTCTTGAAAACCGATTTTCGAATGTGACAACTTTGCTTTAAAAACCTGTTTTTTAAAACAGGGTATGATAAACTGAGAAAAGTCTCGAAAAAATAGAAAAATGTTATGCCAACACTTAACACTCCATCGGGAATTCTAAACGCGTGCTGCTGTTAAAATTGTGTTTTACTGTTAAATTGTGTATGGAGTAAATGAGACGAATACGATACTTAACAATAAAGCTAAATGAGGGAAAAGGAGGAGGGATTAGCAGGAATGAGTGCATCAGCAGACTGGTAGGCTGTGATATAACACCCAGAAACTTTCAAGCGTATTGAAGATATTGATTTTCGAAGCTGCTGTAATTCTTTGGAGATTGAAGTTGCGTATTTAGTTTTTAAGACGTGATTAGCCTAGATACAGTTATGTAAATAGGTTGTGCTTTTCTCTAAGGTAATTATTCAGAACCACTCTGTAAACTTTACAAAAAAATTTTACATATATTTAAAAGCGTTATTAGATTATATCAAAATGCTTATTCTCATGCATGCAGCACCACAACATTCAATTAAATTATTAACTTATTATTTAAAAGACAGTTTCCTTTCAAAAATACCATTTTTAGGCTCAGAAAAAAAAGACTCGAATTTTCCGCATTTCTGTATCACTGATATTTTAGAAAGATGCACATTTTAAAATTTAAACGGTTTGATTTTTTACAAAAAAATTGTTTTTTAACGACCAGTTACAAAACCAACATTTACAGCAAATTTATAAGAAGAGTTATTAACAGTTTTATTCAGACAATCGGAAGCAATATATTCATCTGCGTCTTTTACTGTTATTAAATGAGAGATTTCACAAAAATGATGTAAAGATCGTGAATAATAACTTTTAATTAGGAAGGTCATCAATTTAAACTATGATTACAAATTAAGTAATTCATTTCGATGAAGCCTAAATTTTGCATGAACTTGATATATTGAAAATGATTTTCGTTTTACATTGAGGAATTTGTGCAACTTAAGATGCTTAGTCTATTACTTTGAAGCAAGCACTCTGAGGCCTTTACCAGCTTGCATTTTGGGATCATAACTCGTGTCACCATGACTACAAAACATTTACTTTCACTTATCGAAAATTAGGCAAGTCGACCTTTTATCTGCAGCTGCAGTTCCTCTAGTTACACGTCAAATAAGCTTGAAGTTCTTATTTTATTGTAACAAACTATGGGAAGTGAGAAATTTAATTTAGTGGTAGTCATATAGCATAAAGGGTTGCAAGTATAAAATGCAAAACGCTTCAGTTGTTTTGCATTTTATACCTGCAACCCTGTATGCTTTAGGCTTCCTTCCAAACACCTTACCTTAGAAAATATCCTGAAAAAAGAAATTCCGTGGATTAATATCTGGGCTATGCAAGGGCCGCTCTCTCCTACTTTCGTAATATTCAGAAGATTGATGTGACGTAATATCACATCTCATGAAGCGAAACAACATTTTCAGTGTGGAAGTACTCTGTTTTGCTTGAACCTTAGAGTTACTTTGCCATTGTCAGGTGTCCAGACATTGATGGGCACCATCGACTGTTCTCCAACGCAGAGCCAATGGTTTCCAGTTGTCGGCTCCATCCTGTTGCATATTACACACAAAAATGTCTTTGCATCATCACCAGACTCTTGGTTTCTCCTATAGAGTAATTAGTTTTTTTTTTTTTTTTTTTTTCAGAAGACGTGAAAATGAGCAGTGCCCTCGCCGGGACTTCAACCTGGACCTCTTGAATACGCACCGTGTGTGCTATCGTTACATCACGAAGGGATGCTGGAAGAAGGAAGGAAATGCCTTATATACCACCCCTTTTTAAAGAGCGACTGTGGATTAGGAGAACCAGTCGCCAAATCCTGGTGGTGAGAAATTATTGTCCACCACTTTGTCATGAGAAAGAAAGTTACATTAGAAGACGATGAGGTTACTGAAATGATCTTAAAGCAGTCATTTCACACTAATAGCGGCATGCTATTCGTACAAATACGAAAATCGCACTACACAAAAGCTTTGGTTGACTGTATCTCCGGAATCACATACATGGTTTGTAGTGATACACCGCTTGCTACTGTGACAATTTATGGTGTGCAACTGACGGTTAAATATGATTTCCCAAAACCCATAGACCCGGCAGATGACTGATCTTTATTGCAGTTCCTACAGTACTTTGGTAGCATGTAATGGCATCTGTAGCAAGTAATAGTGATTGATAATTGGAATAATAAAAATATTAATTTTCATTTAACTGCCTTGCAAGTTATGAATCCAGTGAAACTGGAAATTTTTAGACTGATTTTATTTTTATTTCTCATTCTATAAACACCGTTTTAACATCTTTTGCTGTTTTCATCATGTAGAATCTCATGCCATTTTGAAATCTTAATGTGTTGTAGAGTCATTAGGTTATTTTGAAGTAGCAGACGTGAAAAATGTGCAATTTCCTCACTGGGACTCGAACCTGGACCTCTCGAATACACGCCAAGTGCGATAATCGTTACATAATGAAGGCATGCAGAAAGGAGACAGAAAATACCTTACATACTCCCCCTTTTAAAGAGCGACTGGGGATTAGGGGACCCAATCACAAAATCCTGGCGGTGAAGAATTATCATCGAGCACATTTCGGGTGTCACTGTAGAGTCATCAAGTTTGTTTGAAGTAGTAGATGTAAAAAATGTGCAATGCCCTCGGCGGGACTCGAACCTGGAACTCTCGAATACGCTCTGAGTGCGCTGTTACACCGTGAAGGTATGCATAAAGACGAGAGAAAATAATTTATATCTAAAATTTTCGAGGCATAATTACATGACTGTAACCCAGATTTATGATCCATATATCCATATATCATGAGAACATGCCTCACTGACATGTAGTTCAAATATTCCATCACTTCAAAATCTTCATCATTCACTTCTATGTATGCAAGAGATCGCTGCTAGTTCACAGTTTATTTTATGACCACCCCTGTATGTGCACAGCAAAATCGTAAATGAGAGATTTGCTTGATGTTAAGATAGAAAATTATATTACAAGCTGGCGAGGTATCCATTTCAGTATATTCAAAATATAATTAAATTTATAAAAATAGAAATAAATGGGAAAAGTTTAGAAGTTTTCCAATGGAAATAAACTTGACCAACAAAACATTAGTTGATTTAGTAACGACAGAAAGATTTTTAAAAAAATACCTTATAGGGACTTATTGCTCCAGAAATTTTATTAAGCAGTTAGATCGATGAAATTCATTATAAAAATTGTTTAAATTATCTGATAATATAAACTATGGAAGTTGTCAGAATCAGATTGTTTGATTATACACTGACTACCAATAAGTATTTGGACACCTGTGATAGAAAAGAAAAACTAACTTTATTAAAAATCAATAGTTGGTAGAGCCTCCACGAGAGGTAATTACAGCGTGGACCCTCCAGGGCATACTTTCCACAAGTCTTTGTATGACAGCTAGTGGTATTTTCTTCCACTCGGCTTGGAGAAGACATAGAAGTTCCTTCACCAATTTTGCACAGGTAGTGCACCCCTGAATTCGGCGATGCAACTCGTTCCAGAGGTTCTCGATAGGGTTCAGGTCTGGACTCTGGGCAGGCCAGTCCATTTGATGAACTCCATTGGCACCATACCAAGCCTTGGTTAACGTCGAAACATGACAACTGGCATTGTCGTCCTGAAAGTATCAGGGGACCAACCCGTAAAACTGACACAACGTAGGAAGCCCATTGTCATCCAAAATAGTGCAGTAGGTATCGGAGTTGAGCTTACCATGAATGGGACCAAGGGTCCCAGCCCATACCAGGAGAAACACCCCCAGACCATAATTCCACCTCCGCCGAACTTGACTGTTGGCACAATGCATTCTGGCAGGAGACGTTCTGCAGATAGACGCCAGACCCAGACCCTGCCATCCGAACGGTAAAGGGTGAACCTTGATTCGTCACTCCAAAGAACCCGTTTCCACTGATCTACGATCCAATTTCGATGTGCTTTGCACCACATTAACCGAGCAGCGCGGTTGGACTTTGTGATCAAAGGCTTATGGGCAGCAGCACGACCATGAAAACCAACAAATCTCTCATTTACGATTTTGCTGTGCACATACATGTGCTTCCTTACGGATGGTATTCATAGAAACAATACTCCCGAAAGCCTGTTGAAACTTCTCGCGGATGAGGGCCATCGGTTGGGTGGTTCTTCCGAATTTCTCTGGACAGCACTCGTCCGTCTCTATCTCCCAGTTTCGTTGGTCTGCCGACTCGGGGCACATTCCGACAATCACCGCTCACCTTCCACTTCTTAATCACATAGGCCACTGTCGATTTTGGGTACTTCAGATTGCTAGATATGTCCCTTAAGGATCGGCCACATTTGTGATACCCGATAATTATACCTTTCTCGAAATCAGAGAGCTCCGAACTGCGAGGCATCTTGCATGCGACTAAAGCCGAGGCTGTTTCCTACACGATATATACCGGCGGAGTCCGTGAGGTACCTTAGGACCGCAGATATCGGCATTTGCATAGGTGTCCAAATACTTATTGGTAGTCAGTGTAGCTAGACTTTGATTAATACCTAAGTCCGTAAAGCCCTGTCCAAATTTTAAGGCTTCCCAAATCCTTCTATAGTGTTTATGATTCTTCTTTTTCTTCGTGAAAACAAAAACGTAGGTGTAGAAGTGCATGAAAATTATTACTTTAATACAGTCATCTGCTGCTATGTTCTTAGCTTCTGTAGCCGACAAAGCAACTATTGCTTGTTTCTGAGTCACAAATTTCTTCTACACAGAATCACTTATCCATTAATATTTCTGAGTGTTTCTTTATCACCTGCATAATCTGCTTCTCGAAAGTTTTATATTGTGTATTATTTATTCATATTCAAGTATTGTTTTGAGCATTATTTCATGTTTTCACTGTGTCACTGCAATTTTGCCTACATAATCGAGTATTGTATTGTACGTCTTCTAAAGTTTCTATTGTAAATTGTGCATGCCTCTTCAAGCTGTGCATATTTTAAAGTAGTGTATGATTTTTTTTCGGATCTTTCCCTATCCTATGTGTGTAAAAAGTATTTTATAGTTCATGCTAACTTCAAAGGACTTCTCCAAGCTCCGCCCATGATTTGTTCTTCTCATCATACTTGAAAAGTTTATATCATTGTCGCTGTTTCAAAAACAGAACAACTTCTTTGTTGTGCTTATTTCCCGCCATTTGGATTAAATTTCACCCACCTTGAGGTTAAACCCCAGTGTGATTGTTGTGAAGGGGATACTCAGATAACCAGCACTTGGTGAGGTTCCTGAAATCGCATTCGCCAACTTGGGTAATAGGCGCCAAATAGTGGGATGAGTGTTTAGGTTGCTAGCTCGTATGTTAACTATAGAGGAAAGAAAAGAACTAACTAAGATAGGGAGGAAAGAAAGGAATATTTTCTATCTATCTTCAAATCTTTGCATAACTGTATTTGCAACAAATGCATAACTGAAATACATTCGCCAACTTCATAAAATTGGGTTGGGGACCACCAGTTTGAAACCACTGTTTTAGACAACGTTCAAATTGCACATAAATAATATTTTACGATTTAACTTTTCATGGAATAAATACAAACAGATTCAATTAACCTTATCCTATTCTATTTGATTGGTCTCTTTCCGAAATTTAAACAATTGCATGATGCCGTGAAAAGCCATAGAAGCACTTGTTACAAATTTTGTTTCCCTGCAGTTATGCAATTCAGGATTACATTTCTTTGTTTACCTACATGAAAACTATTTTCTCACTTAAACAAGGAAAAAAGGGATAAAAATAACTCTCTTAGCCTTATTAAGCGAAATCATGTGCATAAAAGAATCCGGAATGTCCAATATAAACCGGACTGGATAATGACTGAATAGCATGGAATACATTTCGAAGATGTAGTATTGTTGTGAAAATACACTCTTTTGCAAAACCATCGAAGCACCATGAAGGAAGTGGTTTTTCTTGATGAAATTGAATATGTGTATAGCTCAGATAATAAAATGATTTAAAAATTAAGGTCATAGTACCTGTTCACGGCTCACAATCATCCACTGAGTTTTCAAATTAGTAGTTGGTTGAACCGCTCCTGGCGGAAATGTATGCTTGAATTAGTCGAATCAAGGAGTAATAGAGGTTCCTAATGTCATCCTGCGACATATTCTGCCAGGCATTCATCAGTTGTTGCTCCAGATCTGCAATATTTTGTGGTGCCCGAATCTGGCCCCAAACATGCTCGATTGGTGAAAGGTCTGGCAGCACGGAGACATTCCAAGATATGCGAGCCGTATGTAACCTGGCATTATCTTGTTAGAAAATGTCCCCAAAATGACGTGCCATGATTAGTAATGCAACTAGTATCGATATATCGTTGAGCTGTTAAAGATATACTGAAGATGACTAAAGATGACCTGCTGTCATAAGAAATAGCGCCCCATACCATCACACCAGGGGTTATGGCTGTATGCATTTGTAAAACGAAAGCTGATTGGGACCGTTGGCCCCGTCCTCTCCAGACACGAACACGAGGGTCATCTGCTTCAAGAATGAAGCGGGATTCATCGCTGAACACTATACGATGCCAGTTTGACGGCAGCCATGATGATCGGCTGCGACACCGCTCCAGACGCCGCTGTTGTGAGGGCAAATGTCTTGAAAATTTTTTCTTGTCCGTTGAATGAATACCAATAGCCACAGAAAATGCTTTCAATGCCGCGCGACCTCACCCATTTTTCAGAAATCTATTTACAAGTATTTTATTTGCAATAAAACATTTAGATTCTTTTGCACATGGGTTATAAATTGTTGAACTGAACATCTTACACAATTTGCAAATGACTTTAATCTTAGTTGAATACCCAAACATTCCCTTTGAAACCACATCTAAAGAATAATTGTAGCATTCATCACATTTAATATTATGCAACAGAGATGACCACATTTCGCTGTTCATTAAAATATACGAACAATTTTCTCTCTCTCCCATTTTGACTAGAATTTGAATGAAGACTGAACAGCTGTTTTTAGCTTAGTTGCACTTACACTCACTTTGACACTCACAATTGATTCTGACGCTGGAATTTCACCACTTGTCATGTCCTCTAAAGAAGATTTATTTTTAGTGTCAGTAATTTTTTCTGCCGTAACATCTACAGATGGCCATCTACGACATTCACGAGTTTCTTTAGACGGCCTAGTTTACAGACACACAGAC